GACACGCCTCGCGCTAACCGCAGATACTCCGTTGGGCGGCGGACGCCCCTCCGTGCCCTTCGTTGCTTCCTCTGTCAGCGTCTGCGGAGCGATCGAGCACCTTTTAAGGTTACATTTTCTGCAAATTCTCCTTTTTTTGACCTTTACGTGGTGCACAGCAGCAGCTGTTGCAGAGGGCAAAGCTATAGGGCACAAACGTGGTATCAGTCATGTTCATTTAGTCCAGTGTAAATCTCAGTGAATCGCATTAAAATATTTTCCCATTCGCCTCAACTCAGTACCTGCTGTGGCCCAAGTTGTAATGGCAGTTTGGGTGCCCCTACATAGACCAGCGTCTACCGAGCTTATTCCTACCTGAAAAGCAGCTCTAGAAAAACAGTAAGTGTGTTCTTAGGGAGACAGACTGTGGATTTCTTTTTTCTTTTTCTTCCTTATTTCCTCTCTCCTTGCTGTAATTAAGTAAGAAAACAAGAGGCTTTGGTTTCAATCTCTTTAATCCAAAAGCAGTGCTGATTAGTGCTCTGCATTACCTGCTAACGAGGGGCTTGCGCAGCAGATTTGGGGTCGACCTTAAATGTGAGATTTCCATGTTAACGTTTGAGGATCCTATTTTCAATGCAACTTTTTTCTAAATAGGTTTGTGCTTGATGAAGGGAGGCTTGTTTGCTTTTTTGCTTAGCAAAATGATGAAAATGGTTGTTCACAGGGGTCTACCAGGCATCAGTCTTGGTCAGTTGTTGCTTTTATTTCTTGTCTGGCGTGTGGAAAATAGATTTGTGCTGCAAACGGGTTTCTGTATTGAGCTTCCATCAAAGAGCAGCTTGACACAAATTCAAAGGGGGGGATGGATGTGGGAACAAAGGAGGGATAATTAACTGCAGATCAAACCGAATTAACTTTGAAAGGAGGCTGACAAGAAACAGATCTTAACTCGTGCCTCTCAGCCTCGGGAGCTAATCCCCTCTCTGGGTTGCAGAGGAAGAGGAGCTCGCTTGCTCTCTGGCCGCTTTCCTGGCTCGCAGGGCGCTGAGCCGCGGAGCACAACGTGTTACGTTCTCTGTGCACCTGCAGCGAAGGCTGCGGCTGCTCCGAGAGCTGGGGCTATTTTGGGATGTTCTGGTTCCGGGTGCCTGAGCTGTGACTTCTTCTTGTACCCCCTCAGCCCGTCCTGGTCCTCGCGTTGAGTGCGAACGCGCCGCCGGGGCCGGTGGCTGTGGCAGCGGCGCGCGCCTTGCAGGAGGTGACGGTGGAAAGGCCTCGCTCAGCCTCTCAACTCGCTGCTTTGCAACTGGGCAGACAGGGCAGGGCTTCCCCCTGCTCCCCTGGGTGTCCTGCTGTGGCGATGGCACCGTCCCCCAGTGCCTCCGGACTGTTGCAGTCTGGGTTTTGTGCTCTGTCTGATGCTTGCGAGCGAAAGAAACGTGGTGGTTGCAACGTGTGCTGGTGTAGTCCTGCCTCAAGGTCTTTCACTTTGCTTCTTGCTGTCCCATCTCTTCCCTGTGGAAATTCCAGGCTGGCTCCCTCTCCCGCTGCTCGCACACAGGCAGGTCTTGCAGGGCCCGGGTCACCAAATGGTGTCTCCTCTGCTCCAGGCTTCCCTGTGGAGGGGAAAAGGAATGGGGGCAGACAGAAAGCTGGCGCTGGCCTCCAATCCTCTCCCCAGATCTGGGACAAGGGCCCAGATGGTATCCCAGATCTCTTCCTATGGGATTTAAACAAGGTTTCCTGTTGAAAGAGCTGTTTCTAATCGCTGCCCTTCTGTGCTGCATTGCAGATCAGCACGTGCTGCCAGGACCAGATGAGCAGAGAGAGATTCCTCTGAAGATTAGTCCCCTGCAGCCCTGCCCCTGGAAGAGCTCCAGCAGCTGCGTGTCTCCGGCTGTCATCACTACAGATCTGGAAAAGAAAGAAGAAGAGAAGAAAAATGTCCCATGCTTTAAAGCAAGTGTTCAATAAAGACAAAACTTTCCGGCCCAAGCGCAAGTTTGAGCCGGGCACTCAGCGCTTTGAGCTGCACAAGAAGGCCCAGGCCTCCCTCAACGCCGGCTTGGACCTGAAGGTCGCTGTGCAGCTGCCCCCGGGCGAGGAGCAGAACGACTGGGTGGCCGTGCACGTGGTGGACTTCTTCAACCGCATCAACCTGATCTACGGCACCATCAGTGACTATTGCACGGAGCAGTCCTGCCCCGTCATGTCCGGGGGGCCCAAGTACGAGTACAGGTGGCAGGACGAGCACAAGTACCGCAAGCCCACGGCTCTGTCGGCTCCCCAGTACATGAACCTCCTGATGGACTGGATCGAGGTACAGATCAACAACGAGGACATCTTTCCCACTAATGTTGGTGAGTTCAGATCCCGCAGTGGCTGAAGCCGATGTGACACATTCCCTTGGGGCCCTCTGGCCCTGTTCCTTTCCCAGGAGATGCTGCTAATGGTCAGTGTTGCACCGGTCGCTATTATAGAGCTATCTCCTTTTACACTGCTTTGAAGCAGGCAGAGTAATAAGCTCCTTTGAGCACACTGAGGCACTTCAGACCTCTTCTCATGTGCTAAATACCCAGAGCTGCAACAGAGCTCATTTGGAGTCCCGGATCCTTAGAGGAGAGCAAGGGGAAGCCAAGTCCGGGCGGTGGAATTGAGAGGCCGCTCTTGGGAAGCGCAGGCTCTGCCGTGACTCTGGCAGTAGCTGCTGCTGCACGTGGCCTCTTGCAGGCCAGCTCCTGCGCAGCTGATTGCTGGTTTGGCTTCGGCGCGCGCTCCGCGCTGGCCTCGTCGTCGTGGCCGTGTTTCTGTAATTACCCTTCTCGTTATTACAGACTGGTGCTCGCTGACTTTGCCCTTTCTAGCTCCGTTCTTGCTGATGCGCAGGCAGCCGCTTCGTGACAGCGGGTGGGTTGCTTCCATGGGCAGCAGTGAAGGGAGGGACAGCATTTTATCTACTGCCAACGTGAGGGAAATGAGAGCTTGTCCAGAGAGGCCTATGTCTATAGCCAAGTGCAGGGCTTTGCGTTTTGGAGGACGAGAAGTTGTGTGTTCTCCTGTTCTGTGGTAAGAGCTGAGCTCCCAAGGCTGGGGCAGATGAAGTTGCTCACGTTCAGGGCTCCCGAGTTCCCCAAAGCAAAGGCCGAGGTGCAGCAGAGCAGCAGGGAGCGGAGGAAGGGCCATCCCTGCCCTGAACTAGCCCTGATTAGAGGGTGGCCGACTCGCCTGCTTTGCAACCCCCCTCCTCCCAGCGCGAGGCGGTCGGACCTGCTGCTCGGGCAGGCCCAGCAGCCCGGGGCAGTCGGGAGGGCAAACGTGGCCGCTCGGAGCGAGGGCAGGAGGAGGGTTACGCGGGGCCGCGGGCGAAGCCGGCGCGTTCCTCCTGCCGCGCGGCCGGGCGCCGGGAAGCTCCCTGCCCCAGGAAGGAGCCCCGGGATGTGTGGGAGCTCCCTCCTTCCTGCCGCGGCGCCCGTCCCGCGGGAGCTCTGCTGGGAGCAGTTGGCCTCCGAGGAAGCGTCTGCCCGTGCAGCCCCGTGAGCGGCCGCGGGGCCCGTCCTCCCATCGGAGCAGCGCTTGAGCCAGGCACGGGGAGGGCAGTATGGCCAGGAACAGCCACTGCAGACAACTAAAACACTAAAATCCTCCTCACTCGTTCTGCCTGCTACCCAAACGAGTGCCCTGTTGTTTTATTTGGGGCTTTTCTGTAAGACTCTGTGGGGATTAAGGAGCACATTTATTTTGCACAGAGAGGTGGGACAAGTTTCTGGAGACAGGTGGGGTTTTTTTTTTTAGCTTTGCTTTTACGGGGTTGCCCAGCCTAACACAGACAGTGAAATGGGTGAATTCTTGTAGAGCACTTAAAGGGCTTAACTCATCCTGGTTCCTCCAGGGATGACCCGGGTGAACTTTAAACTGTCATATGCTACCAGGCCAGCTAGACGGTCACAGACTGCCCTGCTGCAGGGCCCCAGCTCAACACCCGGAGCAGCTCAGCCCAGGCCTCCCGGCTTTGCCCAAACTGGTGCCTGTAAATGGGACCTTCATGCCTTAAATTTCTAAGCAAAGGGCCAAAATTCACAATAACTCAAGGGAGTTAACCGTGCTGACCCCTTCTTCTGGGAAACGGTTTCTGGAGTGGAGGTTGGTAGTTTTCTGATATTTTTCACCGTTTGTGTAAACATGTTAGATAGACTTTTTCTTCTGCTCCTATGAGACTGAAGCAGCTGCTGGAAACCTCTGCTCACGCTGGTGTTTGCTTCCCGCTTGGTCACTAGCAGCAGTTGAGGGTGTGCAGGACTTGGTAGCCTAGGAAATCATTGCTTTAAAACATCTGTCCTGAAAGTCAGAAGAAAGGAATTCTTACCTTGGGCAAACTCCTCTCCTCTTGCCTCAAAATATGATTTGCCAAAAACGATTATGGCTTTCATCCCAGGAAAGCAGTTTTAATTCCAGTGCTGTTTCTGATGGTCAGACCTTCCCTTGCAGGTACTCCCTTCCCGAAGAACTTCCTCCCGGTGGTGAAGAAAATTCTCTCCAGGCTTTTCCGGGTCTTCGTCCACGTCTACATCCACCACTTCGACAGGATCACCCAGATGGGCTCGGAAGCCCACGTGAACACCTGCTACAAGCACTTTTACTACTTTGTGAAAGAGTTCAATCTAATAGACACCAAGGAGCTGGAACCGCTGGTGAGTAGCCAGCCGGGCTCGGGGGCCGTGCACCTGAACGGGCGCTGCCAAGTGTCGGCGCGTCGGGGTCCACGGCCAGTGCAGAAGGGGCAGCCTGGGGGTAGAGGAGTTGTGGAGATTTTGTTTGCCTTCTCCGAGCTGTTTGCCCGAATTCAGGCCTTGTGATTTGCCCGGCTGGGAAGCTGCGAGTCAGGAGGTGCCCGCAGAGCTACACGGGGTTGTCTGGGCACGGAGGCAGCTCTCTCTTCCCGTACTGGTCCGGCAGCCTCGTCGTGTTCCAAATAGCCACCTGCCTGTGGGCACGGCCTGAGCCCAGCCCGGCCCTATGAGCCATCCGGATGCGGACGGAGCATGAGGCTCCCTTCCCCGTGCCCGCTTCCGCTCTGGAAAGTGGGGCGGATCGCGCTGCCCTCTGGAGAAGTCTGGAGGAGGGAGGAGGTGACGGTGTTTCTAAAGCTGTGGAGAGCGGAGCGGATCTGGGGAGGTGCTGGGCAGGGGGAGGGTGCCCTGCCCCTGCGTGGGGATGGGGGAACCCACCCAGCCGGACCCTCGAGTACCGGCATCGCTGCGTGTCGGGGAGGATGGCTCTGCCTGAACAAAGGTGAGGTTGTATCTTCATCCCATCCTTGCCTGGGAGCTGAGTCTTCGGTTCATGGTTCTGTGTCTTGTCTGTCCCTTTGGCAGAAGGAAATGACCTCCCGGATGTGCCACTGAGATCAGACCTTCCTGCTCTCACGCCGGTGCCTCTTCGAGGATGCCGGGTCCCGCTCCTGCATCGGAGACATGCTTCAAGGCGAGAACAGAGACGTTTGTTAAAGAAATCTATATATTTTTAATGAGTTTCAATGTAAAACTGTGAGATTGCAGGAATATTTTTTTAAAGATGCTCTAGATAAACTAGTTTTTTATAGTAATTTCTATAAGAGAAAGGAAATATTTTTGGCCGCTTGGTGGAAGTGCTCGTCCTCTAAGGAGGGAGGCGCCACCCTGTGCTGCCTCCTCCCTGTCCCCTCACCGCAGTGGCATTAAGTGAGCCGCGACGCTCCGCGTGGAGCCGGGCTGTGGAGCTGGTGCCGATGTGGGAACGGTGCTTCCCTCCGGACACCAGCCTGAGGGGAGGTGACGTGGGGACGGGCAGGGATGTGCTCGTGTGTCTGGATTCACGGGGGCGCTGCGAGGAACTGCTTGGTTCCTGCACTTCCTCCACTGGCTTTAAGTTGAGGTTATGGATGGAGCTGCTCTTGTGCTTGTCCTTGTACTGGACAACGTGTCCCCAAGGCCTCACCCACCCTTCTTGCTCTCTCAAAGATCTGAGGCTTCTTTCCATCCTGGCCAGGCCAAAGCTGCCACTGCTGATGGATTTTGTCCCCCCTGGAGAGCACGGGGCCCTGGGCTCACGTGTTGGCTCTCCCATCGCAGCGCCGCGCTGGAGCCCTCCCGTTCTGAACCCGCTTTTGCCTTTTCCATGAGCTCTGAGCCGAGCTGCTCCCCGTGGCACAGCCCAGCCATGGCTCCGGCCGCCCTCACCGGCTCTGCACGGACAATTCGGGGTTCTTGCGGGGGCATCGAACCTTCTCCCTTCCGGAGCAGCCCTTCCCCGCTCTGCTGCACGCAGCTCTTCATAACCAAAGCATCTGGTACGCAGCCAGAGACCACTCGCCTTACGCAGCGCTCGCAGGAGCAGCTCCGTGCGCCACGAGGGCTCGGCGGTGCCCCGAAGTAGGTAGGAGGGTCTACCTAGGTCTGGGGGCGGCGGGGAGGAGGGCTCACGGCAGGACGGAAAGGCTGCATGAACCGTGACCAAACTGTACCACTAACTGCTTCTTCCTTGTAACGACCGCGTGTCCTGGATCGCTGTACGTATGTGACTCTCGTTTCCTGTACTCTCGTTAGGACACTTGCCGATACCACTATAGCCGTTGAAATGGAACCAATAAATTATGTTGTATTTACCGAGCACGCTCTGCTCGCTCGACGCCTCGTGATTCTGCCCTGGGCAGAGGCTTTGTGTCCACGGGACCATGTGGATCCCCGGGAAGCGCCCGACTGCGGGTGCTGCTCCAAGCCCTGCAGCACCAGGGACTCGTCCTGGTCTCGCGCTGCTGCACCGGGTTTGCTCGGCACCTTCCCGGGCCTGTGCTCCAGGGTGAGTGTGTGCCGGAGTCGGATGCTTGGGAGCATCCTCCTCGCAAAGGCTGAGCTGTTGCCCCCGTGTGGGTGCTCGTTTCCATTACAAAACCCTCCCTGGCGGAGGTGTGGGTAGGGGACATGGATTTAAGCTTCCTGCCTGGCTCCTTGTCCCTGCTGTCACCAGGCTCTCAAAGGTGTCTGCAGGCCAAGCTGCTGAGGTTGATAAAACCGGAGCTGCGGCGCCTCTAGGGGTTGATGTTCCCCACAAGTTACTGGGGCCAGGAAGACCAGGAAGCAGCCGTCAGCTCTTGGGACGACACCAGGCCCAGCTTGTGGCCTTGTGCCCCCTTTGGGACCGCTGTCCTGGAGGAAGCTCGGAGGGGGAGAGCGGCGGGAGCCGGAGCGGGGCCGGCGCCGCTAGAGGGGGCAGCGGCCCTGCAGCAGCTGCAGCTGCGCGCAGGGACGGGGCTGCTGCAACCGGGGCCGCTGCAACCAGGCCGGGCGCTGCAGGGCGGCTGGGAGCCGAGCGAGCGGCCCCTTCCCTGGCGTCTGGGCTCCCCTGGGGAAAACGGGAGCAGCGCCCAGGGCTCCTGGTGCTCCTGGATGAGGCCATGGAGCTCATGGCCCTCTCCGCCTCCCCGCTCCAGCCTAAAGGAGACAGGGGAAGAGCTGCACCCTGGATGGGCCCAGGGCTCCAGGCCGGACCTTGAGCGTCCGCCTGTTCCCCCGCTCTCACCCCCGGCCCTGCTGCCCCCCTGGCCCCCGGGGCTGGGGATTAGCGGCTCTCGCGGCGCCTCCCGGCCGAGGCCTCCTGCAAATCCCCGCTCCATCTGCTGCAGGCGCCGCCTCCCCCTGCCCGCCCGCAGCGGCGTATCCCGGGGGTACCCGAGCGCGGGGATGTCCCGCGGCCGGGTCAGGCACAGCCTGGGCCGATGGGACCCTGCAGGGCCGTGCGGCTGCTCCCGGGCGGCTCTTCCCGCTCCCAGACCGTTTCCAGCAGCTCCCAGGGCCCACAGACCTCAAAGCACCACGAGAATTGAACGTTCCCTTTTCCATCCAGCAGGAAATTCCAGTATTTTTAGTTTTTTTTTTTTTTCTTTCAAGAATTTTTTTCAGTTGAAACAGAGCCGCTGCTCAAACTCCTCCCGTTTCCAGCAGAGGAAATCTGAGCTCAGGGAAATATCCCAAGGGAAAACGGGGGTGGGTTTCCAAACCAGCTCAAAGCGGCGGCACTGCGTGAGGACAGGGGAGCCCGCGGGACGCGGGGCTCCTCGGCACCCCGCGCGGCGCCCGCGTCCCGTCCCGCCGCCTCGCGCTCCCGTCGGCCGCTCCCACAATAGCCGCTTTCCGGAGCGGCAGCTCGGCCCTTCGCGCTTTCCTGTTTTCCCTCGGCCAGACCCAACGCGCATCCCCCGGCCCCTGCGTCTCCCAGCCCCGACCCAAGGTGCAGGGAAATACCAGGGTGTTTTTGCAAAGCCTCGTTGCAGGGCGCAGGGAAAACATGGCATTTTTGCCAGCTTCATTTGCGGGTGCAAGGAATTTTTTTTTTTTAAGCCTTAATCTGGGTTACAGGGGAAGTTCTCCTTTTCTTTTGCAAACCTCATCTCAGAGCACAGGGAAAGTGCAGCATTTTTGCAAGCCTCATTTGGGGGCACAGGGAAATACCTTTTTTTTAAAAAAAAAAAAAAAACCTCTCCCAGGGCACAGGGAAAGTACAGCTTTTTTGCAGGTCTCATCTCGGGTTATAGGAAAATTTCAATTTATTTTTGCAAGCTTCCTTGCTGAGTGCAGGGAAAATGAAGTGGGTTTGTTTGTTTATTTGTTTTTGCTTTTTTTGGTAAGTTTCACCTTGGGTTACAGGGAAATTCCCCTTTTTTTTTTTTTTGCAAACCTGATGTTGGGACGCAGGGAAAATGCAACTTTTTTGCAAGCTTCATTTGGAGGTGCAGAGAAATTCTCTTTTTTTTTGCGAGCTGTATCCCTGGCTGCAGAGAGAGAAAAAAAAACGCAGCTTTTCTGCAAGCCTTAAGCTGGTGCACAGGGAAATTTTTTCAACCTCCTCTTGAGGCGCAAGGAAAATGAAGCCCTTTTAGAGCGAAGCTTGCAGAGCGCAGCAAAAAACTGCCGCTTTTTTGCAAGCCCCGTCCCGGGACGCAGGGAAATCCCGGTGTTTTTCCAAGCCCCGGTCCCGGGCTCCGCTGCGCCATGGCCGCCCGCGGCCTCTCCTCGCGCCTGGCTGCAAAACAGGCTGCGAGCGCCCGGCTCCTCCCCCGCCGCGCTGGGAATCGAGGGTAAAAAACAACCACAGAAACATGAGAAAAAAGGGGGATTTGGG